CGAGGGAGGGTGAGAGAGACAGATAAAGAGGGAGAGAGGGAGATGCTTGAGGGTAAGCAGCTCATTCCCCATAATCACCAGGGCCTCATCCCAGTCTTATCAGTGTTGGAGCCCCTGACTACCATGTAAGAAACAGAAATTCCTATTTATGTATCCACAATCTCCTCCTCTCTGAGATTTTCACTTATTTTTCCAAAATAAATTATTTCTTAAAATGACACCAACTTTTGTAAGCTTGAAATTGTTTCCAAATAAAAAGGTAAAAGGGCTGGTATTGTGGCACAAGGAGTTAAGGCAGCACCTGTGATGCCAAGATCCTTTAACAGAATGCTGGTTTGAGCCCTGGCTGCTCTGCTTCCCATCCAGCTCCCTACTAATGCACCTGGGAAAACAGTGGATGATGACCCAAGTACTTGGGCCACTGCTATTCACAAGGCAGACCTATATGGAATGATGGAGTTCCTAGCTTCTGGCTTTAGCCTGGCCCAACCCAGGCTGTTCCAGCCATTTACAGAGTAACCAGTAAATGGTAATCCTTCTCTCTCTTTCTTTCTTTCTTTCTCTGTGTGTGTATGTGTGTGTGTGTGTGTCTATGTGTCCCTCTGTTGGAATCCCCTTATTCCCTTCAAATAAATAAATAAATGAAAACTTTAAACCACCTGAAAGATGGCGGTATAGCAGCAAGGTGCGCCGAGTTATACAAAGAGAAACTGATGAATAGAGGGGACAGTCAGGCGATGGAACCACAAAAGGTTGGCTAGAGTGACACAGGAGCATGCCAGAGTGTAGGGGTCCACCCCAGGGCAGGTAGAGGTGCCCAGAAAGACAATGCTGCATGGAAAAAAAGAACCAGTGGGAGGATGACTGCTGTGGCTTCTACCACCACCACCACTACCACCGCTGGCGCTGCCTCCAACCCACCCTGGGAAGGACAGGTGAGACACACGCGGTTGAGTGGGGAAGGAAATCAAAACAAAGTAAATAGCACCCACGGGAAGAGGGCATGATCCAGGGGGACGAACTGAGAGACTGAACATGCCAGGATCCCTCGGTGTCTCCACCCCCAATCAGAGTTTCAGCAGGCAGAGAGCAACAAGCTTGTTTACATTTGGGCATGAAAGAGGGCGGGCTCTGCTTTTGCTTTCCGAATGCAGTAACTTCAGTGGTGGGGACCATAGCGGTTTGGAGTGACTCCCCACTCGTCGCACAGGGGCCACAGTGACAGGGAGGGAGATTTAGAAAAACAGCAACAAACCAAACCCAAACCCAGCAGAAGAAAAGAAATACTAAAGATTAGAGAATAAATAGAATTGAAACCAAAAAAAAATAAACAATAAAAAAGATCAACAAAACCAAGAGCTGGTTCTTTGAAAAAATAAACAAAATAGACACACCATTGGCCCAACTAATCAAAAAAAGGAGAGAGAAGACCCAAATCTGTAAAATTAAAGATGGTAATGAAAATGCAACAACAGAAATAAAAAGAATCATCAGAAACCACTATAAAGAGATGTATGCTAAGAAACTGGGGAATCTGGAAGAAATAGATAGATTCCTGGACACATACAACCTTCCTAAACTGAGCTGTGAAGATATAGAAAATCTAAACAGACCCATAACCATGAAAGAAATTGAATCAGTAATAAATGCACTACCGAAAAAGAAGAGCACAAGACCAGATGGCTTCACCACTGAATTTTACCAGACATTTAAGAACAACTAACCCTAGTTCTTCTCAAATTATTCAAAACAATTTAAAGGGAGGGAATCCTCCCAAATTCTTTCTATGTAGCCAATATCACCTTAAGTCCTAAGCCAAGAAAAGACACAACAGAGAAAGAAAATTACAGACCTATCTCTCTGATGAACATAGATGCAAAAATACTCAACAAAATCCTGGCAAACTGAATCCAAATACAAATCAAAGATCATTCACCAAGACCAAGTGGGATTTTTCCCTGGTATGCAGGGATGGTTCAATATTCAAAAATCAATCAATGTGATATATCACATCAACAAATTAAGAAACAAAAGTCATATGATTATCTCAGTAGATGCAGAGAAAGCATTTGACAAAATACAACACCCCTTCATGATGAAAACTCTAAGCAAATTGAGGTTAGAAGGAACATTCCTCAACACAATCAAAGCAATTTTTGATAAACCTATGGCCAGCATCATAGTGAATGGGGAAAAGTTGGAGGCATTTTCATTGAAAACGGGCACCAGACAAGGATGCCCACTCTCACCATTGCTATTCAATACAGTCCTAGAAGTTTTAGCCAGAGCCATAAGGCAAGAAAAAGAAATTAAAGGGATACAAATGGTAAAGGAGGAAGTCAAACTATCCCTATTTGCAGATGACATGATCCTATATATAGGAGATCCAAAAAACTCCTCTAAGAGACTATTGGAACTCATAGAAGAGTTTGGAAAAGTAGCAGGATAGAAAGTCAATGCTCAGAAATCAACAGCCTTTGTATACACAGGCAATGCCATGGCTGAGAAAGAACTGCTAAGATCAATCCCACTCACAATAGCTACAAAAAACAATCAAATACCTTAGAATTAACTTAAACAAGCATGTCAAAGATTTCTACGATGAGAATTACAAAACATTAAAAGAAAGAAATAGAAGAAGACACACACAAAAAAAACGGCCATGTTCATGGATGGAAGAATCAATATCACCAAAATGTGCATTCTCCCAAAAGCAATTTACAAGTTCAATGCAATGCCAATAAAAATACCAAAGACATTCCTCACAGACCTAGAAAAAAATGATGCTGAAATTCATATGGAGAAACAGGAGACCGTGAATAGCTAAAGCAATACTTTACAATAAAAACAAAGGCAGAGGTATCACAATTCCAGACCTCAAGACATACTACAGGGCAGTTATAATCAAAAAGTCTGGTACTGGTACAAAAACAGATGGATAGACCAATGGAACAGAATAGAAACACTGGAGATCAATCCAAACATCTATAACCAACTCATATTCAACAAAGGAGCTAGACCTACCCCTGGAACAGAGACATCCTCTTCAACAAATGGTGCTGGGAGAACTGGATGCCCACATGTCTAGGTATGAAACAAGACCCCTATCTTATACCATATACAAAAATCAACTCAACATGGATCAAAGATATAAATCTAAATCTAAATCTAAATCTAAATCTAAATCTATGCCACCACACCATGAAATTAATTGAGAGCATAGGGGAAACTCTTCAAGACATTGGAACAGGAAAAGAATTCCTGGAGAAGATCCCAGAGGCACGGGTGGTCAAAGCTAAAATAAACAAATGGGATTACCTCAAATTCAGAAGTTTCTTTAAGCAAAAGAAACAGTCAGGAAAGTGAAGAGGCAACTGACAGAATAGGAAAAAAATATTTGCAAACTACACAACTGCTAAAGGTTTAATCACCAGAATCTACAAAAAGATCAAGAAATGCCAAAGCAACAAAACAAGCAACCCAATAAAAAAAGATGTGCCAAGGACCTTAACAGACATTTTTCAAGAGAGGAAATCCAAACGGCCAAAAGACACATAAAAATCTGCTCAGGATCTCTAGCCATCAGGGAAATGCAGGTCAAAACCACAATGAGGTTTCACCTCACCCTGGTTAGAATGGCTTACGTACAGAAATCAACTAACAACAGATACTGGCGAGGATGTGGGGAAAAAGGGACACTAATCCACTGTTGGTGGGAATGCAAACTGGTAAAGCCACTATGGAAGATAGTTTGGAGAGTCCTCAGAAACCTGAATATAGCCCTAGCAAATGACCCAGCCATCCCACCCCTTGGAATTTACCCAAATGGAATTAAAGGGGAGAAAAAAAGAGCCATTTGCATCTCAATATTTGTTGCAGCTCAATTCACAATAGCTAAGACATGGAATCAACCTAAATGTCCATCAACAGATGACTGGATAAAGAAAATGAGATATGTACTCTATAGAATACTATACAGTAGTAAAAAAAAATGAAATCCAGTCATTTGCAACAAAATGGAGGAATCTGGAAATCATGCTGAGTGAAATAAGCCAGTCCCAAAGGGACAAATATCATGACAACTAACAGAGCACCTAAAAGGGGAACCTGTTGAAGTGAAATGGACACTATGAGAAACAATGACCAGATAAGCCCTTGTCTTGACTGTTGAGGAACAACTTACTATTTTATTCCTTTTAGTATTTTTTCGGTTCTACTTAATACCATTGGTTGAACTCTTTAATTAACACACAATTATTCTTAGGCATTTAAATTTAACTGAAAAGTAACCCCGGTTAAATATAAGAGTGGGAATAAGAGAGGGAGGAGATGTACAGTTCGGCACATGCTCACTCAGACTTACCCCTAATGGTAGAGCTAGAAACGTGCTAGGGGATTCTAATTCAATCCCATCAAGGTGGTATGTACCAATGCCATCTCACTTGTTAAAGGGATCAGTTTAAGTACATAATTGATCAAAAAGATAGGTGAAGTGACAAAGAGATTTCACAAATAAGACTAGTGACTGTAAATAATGATGGATAGAATTAAAAGGGAGAGAATGATCCTACAGGGGAAGCACGATACACAGCAGACTCATAGAATGGCAAAGTCCAGCCTCAGAATCAATCCTTAAGGCATTCAGATCTGGCTAAAAGGCCCATGAGAGTCTTGCAAGCATGGAAAGCCAAGACACTGTGGCAAAAACGACCTGAACAAAAGATCTCAGTGAATGAGACCGCAGCGGAAAGAACAGGCCATCAAAGAAGGAGGTACCTTTCTCTGAAGGGAGGAAGGAATCTCCATTTAGATATGGCTTTTCTAAATAAGATCAGAATTTGTGAACTCAAGAGACTTCCATAGCCTTGGCAGCTCATGACAAAAGCCTTGGGAGATTACTGACATCATAAATAAGAGTGTCAATTGTTAAATCAACAACAGTCACTGGGAACTTGCTCGCCATGTAGGATCTCTGTCCTTAATGTGTTGTACTATGAGGATTAACGGTAAAACTACTACTCAAACAGTACTCTGTATCTTGTGTGGCCTCCAGCTCGCTGTTTGACCTCTCCGTGCTCAAGCTCCACCACAGCTTGCGGCAGAGCGAACCGGACCTGCGGCACCTGGTGCTGGTGGTGAACACGCTGTGGTGGATCCAGGCGTCCATGGCACCCGCAGCTGCCCTGCCACCCGTGCCCAGCCCACCCGTGGCCCCCAGCGTGGCCGACAGCCTGCTGGCCAGCTCGGACACCGCCCTCTCATCCTCCATGGCCAGCCTCCTGGAGGACCTCAGCCACATCGAGGGCTTGAGCCAGGCCCCGCAGCCCCACGCGGACGAGGGGCCACCAGGCCGCCCTCTGGCGGGAACCACACCCAGCCTGGGTGCCTTGGACCTGCTGGGCCCCGCCACGGGCTGTCTGCTGGACGATGGGCTCAAGGGCCTGTTCGAGGACATCGACACCTCCATGTATGACAGTGAACTTTGGGCACTGGCCCCGGAGGACCTCAAAGCTGCTCTTGAGGGGGGACCGGGCAAGGAAGCCGCTCCGGAGCTGGATGAGGCCGAGCTGGACTACCTCATGGACGTGCTGGTGGGCACGCAGGCCCTAGAGCTGCCGCCAGGGCTGGGGCGCTGACCCCCCGGGGCTGTGCTGCTTGGCTGGAGTCTGATCTGAACCTGGTGGCTGGACCAACGCTCCCTGGAGAGACACAGCTGGCTTTCCTGGAACCCGGAGAGGGGGGCTTGGGCCACTTTGGAGAGGTGGACTGCGGTCTGCTTGTCTCAGGGCCGGTGGGGGAGCCTGGTAGGGGCCCCTAGCCATGGAGCGGCCGGGTCTGCTGGCCGGAATGAGACCCGGCCAGGCCCGTGCTGGACTGAACCCTCCAGGGCCACAGCCTGGGCTGCTCCTTGCCTGATGCGGGGAGAGACTTTGATCGGTTTTTGACATTAAAACCAGCAGTATTTTGAAATCTTTACTTAGTAAATACTAAGTTGATCTTCTGTATATAAAGATAATTGAAAATGAATCTTGATGAAGAATGGGGTGGGAGACGGAGTGGGAGATGGGATGGTTGTGGGTGGGAGGGAGCTTATGGGGGGAAAAGCCACAACAATGCAAAAGTTGTACTTTGTAAATTTATATTTATTAAATTAAAAAAACTTTAAGAGAAATAAACAGTAATGAAAAGGTAAAAATATTAGTTAATTTTCACTTTTAAAAAGTACTTTGATCACAAGGAATTATCAGTCTCCTAGAATCTGTCAATCTCTCCAAATGGCCCTCCATGCCATTTGGGCTGCCCTCTGCCAGTGCCTCATGTGTAGTCCCTTGGTTGCCACAGAAACAACTTTGGTACCCACCTGGACTTGGCTTCTCTGGGCCCTGCCCTAGGGTTCTTGTACTTTTCTTCCCTATTTTTTATCCTCCTCTATTCAAAGAAACCTGTGTCTCCTGTCTAGAAAATCATCCTGTTAGTGGAGTAATCATGTAAATCATTTCTAGATAGCCTAAAATGCATATCTTCTTTAAAACATTAAGATAAAAGACTAACAAAATAATAAAAAGAATAGAAACCACTATACTAGATGGACTTTTGCTACATCTCAAATCGTACCACACTAGTACCTATGCACCCTCTCTTCCACAAAAATCTGTCTTGCTAGAACAAACAAGTGTGAGACAAAAGCAACACCTTCTTTTGAACAGAATGTCTCAGGGATCTAATGCTGATAGGATTTTAAATACACTAATGTATTATGCAAAAAATAGAGCAATTTTAGTAGACATTGGCAAATCAAAAAAGAAGACAAAGATCCTTTCAACATAATAAGACACCAGGGCTGTGCTCTAAAAGGTGCTCATTCTCAGCCAGGGAATAGCTTGCTTCCACTGTCACCCAGATATTGGACTAAAAAATTATTCTTTTGTTGTTCTCTTCCCCTACCTGTCAGATCTGAAGCACCATCATTCCAAGTGCTTCTAGGGAAAGGCCAAAATGAATTTAACTGATGGCTCAAACCAAAGCCTAAGATCAGGAGGTAGCACCATGGAAGCGTGTATATGCAGGGGCAGGGCAGGATGGATAAAAACACCCAGCTATCCTGATGGTACATGCAGGGAAGACAGAGCAGCAACTGTCTGCAGTTGAACAGGAGGATGGCCTACAATGGCACGAAAGAAAAAGAACTGTCTTGCACTACTCCCTAGTTCCCTTGATGTGCCTCATGATGTAATATTGAGGTTCTTCAGTAATGGACTGTATTATTTGCCCTTCTGAACATTAAAGGCATAGCTAAGGGGTTACTCAAATAAACATTTCCTTTGTAGAGTACATAAGCCAGTCATCATTGCTTTATGGTGCTACAGAGGAGAAAGATTTTGTCTCACTGCTTTGCCTTTTATGAGAGATGGCTGGAAAATAATCTCCTATTTATTTCCTTTCCTTGATGTTTTTTATCACTTTGCAGATCAATAAAATAGAATGATGATGACGCACAACTTTCCTGCAAAAGTTTATAAAGGAAGCTATTAGGAATGATGATCCCATTCTAAATAAGCAAACTTTTACTTCAATGCCTGCTCACTAGAGTGGTGTTTGCTCATTCAATCATTGGTTCAACAGACAATGAGCATCTGCTGTGTGCCATGCCCGATATCTAAGGCTCATGCTAAGCCTCTGTTCCTTTAATGTTCAGGAAACTGGCACAGCTTAGTGTTTAGTAAAATAAAACCTGGCAAAAATTATGCATGTTATTATTTCTTCTCAAAAGAGTTAGTCTTTATTTTCATAGCATAAACTAAAATTAGTAAATAAAATGAATTCTATAATTTTATAATGTGTATTTCATCTTTTCCCTTTCCAAACTCTGTATTTTTAAAAGACTATTTTTTTAATTCTACTGATATTTCTTATATCAAACTACCAAAAAATTATTTTACTAAGATCCTGCAACCTAGAAGTCCTTACATATTCATAAGTGTGAAAATTGATCTAGGGCTTCTTGTCTGCTTTAAGAAAATGATACAGTAGCAACAGCTAAACTCTAATTTTAAATTCTGAACACTGAACTAAGTGTAACATCAGATATTAACTCATTTCAAACAAGGAAATAAAAGAACAACATTTCCATTAAACTGTAAAGAATTCCCTTCTCGAAGTAATTTACACACAGTTCCATTAAGTTTTCCTTTGACTGTCTCTTTGTTTCTTCAGAATTTTTATTTTGTTTGAACTAGACCCCTTTATTTTGCACAAGAATCGCGTCTCAAATTACCTATACCTCATCATCACAAGTATTAACCCATTAATCAATAACTGATTCATAATATTTGGTGTTAACCTATATTTGCTATTTTCTTCCCACTTTTATTTATATTTTGTCCTTTTCTACTTAAGCACTTGAGAAAACCTTGAATCATTGCCTAATTTGGTAGGGCAGAGGCTAAAGGCAACATGTAAGCCATCCTTGGCTTATATTCCACAAAACCTAAGCACTCTGGATAACTTAGTATAGCACAGAAGAGATGAAAAAGGAAATGTCATTTAAGTATTTAGAAAAAAAATTTCGTGGAAGAGGTAGTTATAATGATTGCCCTGTCCCGCAAACCAGAAATAAAATCTTTCTTTCCTGGCATGGATGAGGAGAGAGAGAAGCTTACAGATCCTGCATTAGTGAGACACAGACTCTGCATCCTGGAGTTACCACCAGAAGATGTTAATGCATGGAATATGTCGTCCTAGAGAACTACAAGAAGCCTCATAAATGTTGCTATGTCTCAAGAATCATCACAGCTATTTCTTACAAAGTAATTGCTATCCACCAGACAATGCATAATATATACCAAATAGTATAATATACACCAGATAATGCATAACAATAAAAAAAATGAATTCCCTAGCTATAAATCACAGAAAACAACTCTAACTACATAAAGAAATAAGTGGTTTTATGATAAGGATGCAGGATTGAGGCAAAAGTTGAAGAAACAGTCTCAGAAAAAAAAAATCCTAGGCAGTTCAGTCACAGTAGGCAGAAAAAAATGATAGTCTCCTCATGATATGAAATAAATTCTAGGCATCCTTTAACCTTTTTTCCTACTGCTCACAAGTCACATTAGAGGTGTGGATATGAAAGGGGCATCAAAACTGCTCCAGCTGAATACCTTAAAGCACACCAACCAAATTAATTCCAGTGGTGGATAGGGTCAATGTATCCATTCCCTATGGATCTGTGGGAGAGTAATATATCCATTACCAAATATCTTTCTTTGACAGAACTTAAGTTTGTTATTCAGAGAAATTGTAGAGCTCTGTAGACATAGAATGACTCTGAAAAGCTGTCCATTTTCAAAGAGAAATTCAATTCTACCTTACTAAAGATTTTCTCACATTTGCAAATCATTACTATTCAATATAGTTCTGGAAGTTTTAACCAGAGCCATTAGGCAAGAACAAGAAATCAACAGAATACAAATTTGGAAGGAGAAATTCAACTATCCCTGTTTACAAATGACATGAGTCTACATATAGAGGATGCAAGAGACTCCATTAAGAAACCATTAGAACTCATAAACAAGTTTGAGAAAGTGGCAGGATATAAAATGAATACACAAAAATCAATAGCCTGTTTATACACATACAATGATGTGGCTGAGAAAGAAGATCAAAGATCAGTCTCATTCACAATAGCTACAAAAAGTTAAATACCTTGGAATAAATTTAACCAAGGTTGTCAAAGATGTCTACAATGAAAATAACAAAACAGTAAAGAAATAAACAGAAGAAGACACAAAAATATGATGTTCATGGATTGAAGAATCAATATCATCCAAATGCCCATACCACCAAAAGCAATTTATAGATTCAATGTGATTTCAATCAAAATATCAATGATATTCTTTTCAGATCTATAAAAAATGATGCTGAAATTTATATTTAAATATAAGAGACCCCCAAATAGCTAAAACTATCTTATACAACAAAAACAAAGCTGGAGGCATCACAATACCAGATTTTAAAATATACCACAGGGTAGTTATAATCAAAACAGTACGGCACTGGCAAAAAAAAAAAAATGGATAGACAAATGCAACACAATGGAAACTTCAGAAATTAATCCACACATCTACAACCAACTTATTTTTTACAAAGGAGCTAAAATCAATCCCTGGAATAAGGACAGTCTCTTCAACAAATAGTGCTGGGAAAACTGGATTTCTGCATGCAGAAGTATGAAACAAGACCCCCTACATTATACCTGATACTAAAATGCATTCAAAGTTGATCAAAGACCTAAATTTATGTATCAATACTATCAAATTATTAGAGACATTTGGAAAACCATGCAAAACACTGACATAGGCAAAGAGTTCTTGGAAAATACCCCAGAAGCAATCAAAGCCAAAATTGATAAATGGGATTCCATCAAACTGAGAAGCTTCTGCATTGCAAAACTGACAGTCAGAAAAGTGAAAAGGCAATAGATAGCTTGGGAGAAAATATTCACAGACTATACAACTGATAAATATCCAGAATCTATAAAGAACTCAAGAAATGGGTAAAGGACTTCAACAGGAATTTTTCAAGAGAAGAAATTCAAATGGCCAACAGACACTTGAGAAAATGCTCAGGATCACTAGCCATCAGGGAAATGCAAACCAAAACCACAATGAGGTTTCATCTCACCCTAGTTAGAAGGGCTTTCATACAGAAGTCAAAAAGCAACAAGTTCTGGCAAGGATTTGGTGGAAAAGGTACCCTAATCCACTGTCGGTAGGAATATAAACTGAGGCAGCCACTGTAGATGACAGTATGGAAATACTTCAGAAATCTGAATATAGACCTACCATATGAAGCAGCCATCCTATTCTTGGGAATTGAACCAAGAGAAGTGAAATCAGCATATGAAACTGTTTTCTGT